CATAAGTTTTAGGTTTGGATTGACATATGCCTAGAGACAAAAACTCTTGCACAGAATACTACAATCATGTTATCACACTATATTTAGAATATCAAATATATCTTCAGGATACCGGTAGGTATCCAACCATAATACTATTATCAAACTGAGATATCTGTTGGTACTCGGCCACAAAACCAATATCCAACCAAGTTACCGGCGGACAACCGCCAGTAGTGGCGATAGTAGTCGCCAGTAGCTACCAACCACAAGCGCACTAGTATTGCGGTTGTATTTAACCAGTTTATTGACTAGTATTCGCAAGAATACTGGTTACTACCGGTAACCACTAGGTCACTGGTTGGTAACCACCGATTACCGGCATGCATTGCCTAATTTCTCCAGCAACTGCCATTACCGGCGGTCACCGATCAGAATCGGTAATATCTGGACAATACTAGCGGTATTTGGGCCGGTAACTAGCGGTATCCAGGCCGGTAACTAGCGGTATACGTGCAAAAACATCATAACACATTCGAATTAGGGACAAAATTTACAAAGAAACAAAAAAAAACCCAACCGCCATTGCCGGCGGTTGCGACGCAGGTGACGCCTCATGATTTGCTCGGTGGCGGCTCACGATCTCCTCCAGCAAGGAGCTAGCGGGCTTTAGAGGGCGGAGTTATGCCAGTGATGAGAATAGAGAGAAGAGATGGGAGTGGTTTGGAACGTTTGTAGAGAATCTGTTATTAGTTTCCAATCATCTTTTAAAAATTCTGATATAAAATTTTATTCACTCTCCAAGTATTGCCATTTCTCTCTTTCTCCCTTTAAAGGGACTTGAAACAGGAGAAAAAAAAAATCCGAAAACTATGTAATATCGTAATGGTGTCTTTGGTTGTAAAGTGCAAATGGAGACTGGTGAGCAAGAGGAGAGATGGAAGAGGAAGAGAGAGGAGAGAGTGGGATTGTATGGGTATTTTGGGAGTTCGAATTTTTTTTTAATGTAGAATATGCTATTATTTTCATTTCTCTGAATTTCTTTCATAAATTTTTAGAAAATTTCTTGAGTTCGGTAACCTGATCAATCCGGTAAATATAACCTTTTCATTTATCATGTAAATCGTCCTTTCGTGTGTGTAACGCACAGTTCGCTTAAAATATCATATTCTCCCTTTTCCCTTCTCTTTTTTTTTTTGGAGGGGAAGCTTCCTCGTCACATTTAGTCCACGAGTTGGACCTAAATTCACAAAAAATCATATACACCACGGGAGATTTTTTTTTTATATACCAACATATAGACTAAGTTTTCTGTCTGTCAGATTTACGTAAAATCACATAAAAGTCAAAAAATATGCAGATTTAACAATTAAAAAAATTTAACCTATTGGTATGCCAAGCGTACCAAAAAATCTCTCATAAAATAAACTAAATCTGAAAAAAATTTAACATACATGTCAGGTGAAAATACCATTAAAAAAGTAAGATCGGCCTTCACTGCCAAAATTGTATACCAATTCAAAAATTTGGCATTTGAGTGAGTTGTTTCTCTCAAGTCTTCTTTTTGTCTGTCTATTGTTGTTGTTATAAGCAAAAATACATTACCAAGCAAACAAAACAACACAAACACAAAATGCCATAAGAGGTGCAAACAGACATAGACAAAGCGGCAAAGCTCATTAGCCAAGGTCCTTCTTTGTGACGTTATGAGCAAAATACATCATTTAACTCTCATAGAATCCAGAAGAAATTGCAATTCCAACGAGAATCAACTGCTTAAAGAGAATCTTCCACCATAAAACTCACATCTCATTAGGACCACTAAAGCATTTATCGCTATAAACAATTTCTTAAGCATGCAATCTTATCCCAACCTTTTAGAATAGCCGGGTCCATTGCCAAATGAAGCACCAAAGCCTTACCCATATAGACGGGGAGGAAATAACCACTTTTTATTATTATTTTTTATTATTTTTTTATTTTTATTTTTTGGGGCCCCAAGCCCATGTGAGGAAATCCTTCCTATCCCTTACATATCAAAGCTGACATCGTTTATTTTACCGATTTGAGTTTTCAGTTATAGGTTTTTGCAGTTAAAAGTTCTAAGAATATGTCACATCTAACTTTTTCTACTACAGTTAAAAGCTTTCAGTAAATATCACATCTAACTTTTTCTGCTACAGTTAAAAACTATAAAAAAATGTCACATCTCAATTTAAATTAGAAACTCAAATTCGCAAAGTGAATGAGGCCTAAGAATCCAAACTTGTCCAGCATAGCCACATTACAATCAGGTTTCACATGATCTATGGATAACGGATGCCAAATATCCAGTCTAGTATGAGAAGTTGAGGACAAACTAAGGGGAAAAACGGTTACTTTAGTGCCTTGAATAAAAATACACGTTATACTTGTGTATTCTATATGAAAGTATACTAGCTGGTTACTACAATACGTTCCATTATCAAAATTAACAAGCAAATAAATGTACCAAAACTCTTAATCGGACCTTAAATTATACATATAAGATTAGTCAGGTGGCATAAAATGCAATAATATATAATTCTAAGGCAATAGCTTAAATCAGTGGTAAAACAGAGTTAGAAACTTTGTTTTTTACTAGCGGAACATCAGCTACTATGTACGTGGAGAGTAATCCGTGTGTTAAGTTTTAGTCACCGTATTATTATAAAAATTTTATAAAATCTCAATATAAAATCCCAATGAAGGAACAAAAATGGAAGAAAAATAAAGTTTTAAGGCAAGAAGTAAAAAACAAAGGTCAATAAATAAATAAGTTTTGGGACAAAAAGGACCACAAAGAAAAAATAAATTTTTAGGGCAAAAATAAAAAGAAGGGGTCAAGAAACAACCAAAATAAAGAAGTAAATAAGTTTTATGGTAAAATGAACTAAAATGGAAAAAGAAAAATTTAGGACAAATTAAAAAGAAAAGGTCAGAAAAAGACTAAAATGAAGAAATAAATAAGTGCAAAATGATAAGTTTCAGGGTAAATAAAAAAATAGGTCAAAAGAGGACCAAAATGAAGAAATAAATAAGTTTTTAAGGCAAAAGAAACTAAAATAAAAAGTAAAATAAATTTTTAGGACAAAAACAAAAAGGGTCAAAAAGGACTAAAATGAAAGAATAAATAAGTTTTAAGATAAAATAAACCAAAATAAAAAATAAAATAAAATTTTAGGACAAAAACTAAAAAAGGATAAAAAGGACAAAAATAAAGAAGTAAATAAGTTTTTAGGTAACATAAACTAAAATAAAAAATAAAATAAAATTTCATATATATATATATTTATATAAAAGATTGTAACGTTTGTCTACTTTCTTCAGGTATTGGTTTTTCTTGATCATTGAAGTGAGTTCAGGAAATGTGGTGCTTGCCCGGGTCCAGGAAAAAGAATCGACATATTCGTCTAATTTGGGATTATAGGCAGTACATATTAGTATTTTTCGTGAATAATTATTTAATTATTCAAATTGTACACGAAATAAATTATTAATTCTAAAAAAATTCATGCATCTTTATTCTTTACATACTTAAAAGACTTAAAACACCGGTTCTCCCCCTTTCACCCGCTAAGAACGAAACGTTTCGTCCACTGAGAGAGCAAGGACGAAATGTTTCGTCTCAGTTTTTTTTTTTCTACTTATCATGATTATAAGAAGGTTACTTTTCTAAACAATCACTATATCATATTGAAATTATGAAATCAATGATATAACCGCGTTTACAAATAATAAAAGGTGATTTGAATTCACGAATAAAGGGTTGTTAATCCGTAGTTTAGGTAACAAATTAACTAACAAAAATCACTGGTCGGAGAAGATTATTGACGATTATAATAACTTGCTCATACGTACTTTGATCACTCAGTAGCTTCATTATTTTTTTTCTCACCCTCTTTTATTGGTTCTTTTTTCCTAGAGAAAATAGAAACATTAACACATACAATAAAAAAACTTCTATAAGTATAAGGGCAGTACTCAGTCGATTGAATTCTCCATTAAGATAATTTCTTCCACTACGCCCTCTTAGATCTCTGATATCTATCTTTAATTAATTAATAGCACAATACTATGAGGAGGGCAAGAGTGCGCTGAAACTGTTTAGGCAGAAGGAAGGAAAAGATGCAGATCAGTAGAGTCAGAACTAATGCATTTGAGATCCTCAAAAGCCAGAATCAAGCAGTGTAGTGGTCGCTTGCTCTCGTCGGATCATCTCCTTCCGCTGCGTCGAAAGTGGTGACCAGAAGAATGGCGACTGAATTAAGCATGTTGAGAGATTTCTTGGAGGTCAAGGAAGATCCAATTAGTCCAGAGATCAAATTCGAGGATAAAGAAATGGCTGCAGTGGTGGATGAGAAAGTCACTGCGGGATCAGAAGCTTCAATTGCCGGTGGAACTCAGACATACGAAATTACTAAGGTTGCGTTCTTTTCAATAACTCCAAATTCAAGATTGGAGTTAAAAAAGTGAGTTTAATTGGAATTGTGTTTGAAACTTGAATTGTGTGTTCACTTAGATGATTTGTGAGATGTGAACTTGAGTTTTATGTTCACTTTGACAAAAACATAACTCTAAAATTTTGCAAGTATTGACATGGATTTTTTGACTACACATTAATACACCTATATACATAAATAACAGAAACGTCCATAAGTTCATTACAACGTATTGTAAAATAAATACGGTAGTCAAAATTGCGGAACAAATATGTAACTACCGATTGCGATATGCTTCCAATGCCGCCCACATGCTAGCTGCCATCTCGTCCCTCAAAATATTCATTTGTCTACGATGTGCGGAGTTCTGATTTTGTTCCGTTCCGCGATCAGGATTGTGATTCTGATTAACATCTTGATCTGCATTTTCTGGATCAATTTCAAAAACTGGAACTCCGTCTCGTGTGTACTGGTGCAGTAGCTCATCGTTATTGTTGTACATATGTATGAAATTGTGAAGCACAGCACAAGCAATAGGAATTTGTATCTGTTTCTCTATTGGGTAATTATTTATGCACTTGAGTATGCGGAACCTTGCTTTCCAAACACCAAAAGTGCGCTCAATAGCATTTCTTAGGGACGAATGCGTGTAATTGAACAACTCACGCTGAGTTCGAGGACGCCCACGTCTTGCCCTATACTCTTGAAGGTGATATGTGCTCCCCCGGTACGGCGCCAAGAAACAATCGTTGTTCGCGTAGCCAGAGTCTACAAGGTAGTATTTACCTGCATTCGCCATTACAAAGCAATAATTAAGTACGGCCAACTCTTTAGTGAAGTCAAGCAACCAACGATGATGCTTGTTTATCAACATATATAGCAAGGATTGGGATTGACATACCGGGCGGTGGAGTTGGGAACTTTTTTTCTCGTACCCCCACTACGGATGAAAGAACGCGCGCATCATGTGCCGATCCCTCCCATCCAGCTAATATGTAGGTAAACTTCATGTCAAATGAACATACCCCTAACACATTTTGGGAGTAAAAACCCTTCCTATTCCTCCATACTTCGGGGTTACCTGATGGTGGAACACAAGGGACGTGAGTCCCGTCGAGAGCTCCAACACAATTCTGTAATCAATTAAGAACAACGAGGTTACCAATCTTATAATGTTAGTCGCTGACGATATGATATATGAGTAATGACATACCTTAAACCATGGCAAATACTTGCTTCCACTCGCAGCAATGATTGGATCAATAATGTTAAAATTCGGGGGTGTTATGAAATCATGCCGCGGGTTATATATTGCCGCCAATACAGCCTCGAAGTATTTGGAAATTGTGGATCCAGAATGCTGCCATTGATCCTGCGATTCCCTATTGCTTTGGCTTTGGGACACAATGTATAGAAAGATAAAAAGCTGCTCGTCCACGTTCATATTCCTAGTGGGTCTCAGATATCCCTTAAGTTCTAAGAGTGAACTCAGTCGCTTAAAACAGTCACTGCCCATCCTAATCTTATTCCGAATTACGTCCTCATGACCATCAAGCAAGTAATCAACACGCATAATACCTGTGAACGCGGAGGTGTGCTTAGGTTGAGGCGGGGGTCTCTCAACGTAGGTTTGGTAATACCAGAGCATAGCCGCGACACCTGCTGTCTCATAGTCATCATCTGAGTCATCGTCTATTGTGTTGTCAGGCGACGCGTTCGAAGGCCCTCCGTTCCACATTACAACCTGTTCGCCAAATCTGCTATAGTAGAAGTCACAAGTACAACATAGTTAATGTTGAAATTGTGCAATAATGTAATGGCAAAGTATAAGAGTCACTACCAAGTAAAGTCATTAATGCAAATTGCATCATGTCATCAGAACACTAATTGAAAGAGAAAGCAAACGAAGTAATAGTTTCGAAGTACAACACAACTCAATAAATGATTACAACATAGTTAAACGCCTCATAATTAAGAAAATTGTCCGACACTGTCTAAGCCTCATAAATAAGAAACCTCATAAATAAAAAGTCTCGTAAACAAAGAGCCTCATAATTAAAAAGCCTAACAAGTAGCTACTCCTCATTGTTTCCTCCACCAAAATGACCAGAGTTAGGTGGAAAACTAGGCATGTAATAGGGTGGTGGACATTGAAAGTTAGGGGGATGGGGAGTAACATTTGGGGTCATGTTTTGGATTGGTGGGTGTTGTGGTTGCATGTGGTGAGAGGGTTGAGAGAAACTGGGTACTTGTGGTTGGCCAAAGGTAGGAGGTTGTTGGCCATAGATTGGCGGTTGTTGGTAAAAGTTGGGTGTCGGCATGAAGTTTTGATATATAGGGGGCTGCATGAAGTTGGAAGCCATGGATGGAGGGGGCATGGTGCAAGATTGGGTAGATTGACTCGTTTTAGAGGTAACGGTTCTCATCACGAAACCAACCCTTTGCGTCTCTGTCATATCCAAAAAGAGTTGCTGCATGTGTGGAAACCACCCAATGGCCTCTAAGAATATTATGACAGTGTCATCTTCAAGATCCATTTCCTTCACAATCGCTGTACACTGCCGCAGAGTGGTAGGGGTCGCAGGGTTCTGAGAAGCGCTGGAACTGGTAGCCCTGCTACTATTCTTACTTTCTATAGAGGCTACAAGTCGTCCAAGTAGTGCCCTTGCTTCTGGATCGCCAACCGGACGTTTCTGACTGCGTCCAGATTTCTTACCAATTGCCTTAGAGGTGGATGCAACATTCAAGCCCTTCCTAGCACTGTTCAACCCAGCTCACATCGTGGTCACAAAAATGTCATCGCTGCCTAACGAATGCGACGTCGCCCCCCCTTCACCTTCTTCAGCCGGGATTGGAGTTGTGTCTACGTGCGCGGTGGTGGGATTTTCCAATCCCACCGCAAATTCACCACATGCACGGGTACTACCAAAGGCCTCGTAGTACAAGTCAAAATTTTTAAGGGGATGCTTCTTCGCAGCATTAGCCCACTTCTTGTTCTGTGTGAAAAATAACATCCACATAAGCTAACGCACGTTGAACACATGTTCTAACTGATGATAAATAATTTGGGAAAGGAAAACAAACAACTGGTGATTACCTTAGCAAAATCTTCCCAATACTCGTCCGTACAAGTCACTGCGCCTGTCACAGGATCCCAACCAAGGCCTGTGGTTGTACGTAGTATAACCTCCTTATCAAACTTGCCTTTTAGACGCACTCGCATCTGTTGAACCTTGGCCGCCGTAACTGGATCCTTAAAATGTTTTTGTAGCTTAGTAGCCCAATCTTCCCAATTTTTCTGGACCGGTTTCCGACCATGGTAGTTACGGTTATACTCTGCTAGGAGTTGCAACAACTCCTCCTTCTGCTTTTGATTCCAATGAAGAGTCGTGTCCTCATCATTGCCCCCTCTTGGCATCTACCACCACACACCAAAAGCATCATCCCGCACAAATAAGAAGCCACAAACAAAAACACGTACGCACAATTGTATATAACTATAAACATATATATATATATATATACACAAGGGAAGTAAAAGAAAACAAAACAGACAATGGACCAAAGCCAAGGACAACACGATTTGGGACTAAACTGTGAACAACCAAGTCCGAATTTTGTGGCTATTTAACTTATTAGTAAATAAAGCAATGGGGTTGTTGGCTTGGTTACTGGATCTAGCAAATGTACTTCCTCCGGTGATATAATGGTGATTATAGGCTGTCATGAGTGTGCCACAACGAAGCGAGTTTTTTATTTTATTTTATTTTAATTTATTATTTTTTTATTGCTATCTTTGATGTATGTACTATGTAGTACTAACTGAACCTTGTAAATGGCCCTATAATACTCAGTACCTAACATGGTAACCGGCTTGTTTGTAATTCTTGTAGTGTCTGTGCGGACTGTCATTTACCCGGCACTCTTTGTATGTGGACCGACTGCACCACATGCTTTGAGAGCTGTGCAAGTATGGCAGGTGAATGTGGTTGCCTAGGAGGTGCTGGTGAAGCAGGGCTACCATTGCTGTTTATAATGGCATTGATTGTGCTGGGACTTTTTACTTTAATTGGAATATTTTATAGTGTCTTGGTGGCTACAATGGTCGGACAACGAATTTGACAACGGCATTATCACATACTTGCAAAAAGGATGCTAACAAAAGTGAGTCAGGGTGATTTTATTCCATCCTAGTTTATTTATTGGCTGCAATAGTATAAATTTCTTTTGCCATGTATATCAAGTTCAGCCCAGAAATGATGCTCAGTAGCTCTTTAAACCTCCAAACCACTAAGATCTTATCTCGACTTAGTCGACTGCGTACCTTTAGTAGAATTTAAATTTTTGCATAGCCAACTAATTTACGGAGGAATACTTTAGACAAAAGAATAGCCTATAAAACGGGATAGCAAAATTTAGGACTGAATTGAATGTCTTGGCATTACAAGAAATGATTCTTTATCTTGAATCGAAATTATGGTACAGTACTTCTACAAAATTACATTACCAAAAACCACATGAATATTGAATCGAAATCAACTAAACGTGTTCAAGGGATGCATGCTCAACTCAGAAAAAGGAACAAATTCTGATGCTCTGCGTGGACAGCCAAAAATGACAGATCTCATATGTAACGACATACTAGTTGGGGCGATCGTTTGGCACACAAAACTTGAGTTTA